TTTTTATTGTACTGAAAAAGATCAAGTAATATTTATTTTTCACAGTTCATTACAATTTCTTATCTTTTGAATAATTCATCTGAATATTTGAATAATAATCTATTTTAAAAATAGTCTCCTAGTGATTTGTTCTGATATGATATTAAGCTTAATGTTTATATTTCTGTAAATGAATGTCTTAAAGTTTTATTTGTTCCTTAATTTTGGAAATGAAAATAAATCAAATGTTAGTTTCACCGATATAAAAAGGTATTAGTAGTTTTGAACACTTAAAATATATCTATTGCCCTAGCTGGTTTGGCTCAGTGGATAGAATGTTGGCCTGCGGACTGAAGAGTCCCGGTTTCAATTCCAGCCAAGGGCACATACTGGGGTTTCAGGCTCAATCCCCAATAGGGTGCAAGAGGCAGCCAAATATGCACACACACACACATACACTCCGTGTTTTGGTGTTATACAGTAACTAAGGACAGTCTGATTCACAGTCTCTATGTGGAAAAGAACCTTTACTTAGGACAAAGCTACTACAGAGAGAAGTTAAGAGGACTTAGCCCAAGGTCACACAGCTGTTTAATGAGCCACAGAGGATGAATGGCGTACATCTGGCTCTTCCTAGCTAAGTCTATAGCTGTGTTCCCTCCCCACTGCCTCTGGCCCCTCTGACCAGGCCACCAGCTCAGTGTCTTCTCGTGTGTCCCTGATCACACCTCTGTCCCCACCCCTAACGCAGCCCACAGGTTGTGTCCGACTGCTCTTAGAGATGAGGAAACCATGGCGCTCTCTTTGGCCCATCGGCATCCAGCGATCCACAGGGATGCCAGAGACCAAGAAGACGATGAAAAATGGGAGTCAAGAGCCAGTAAGTCAGAGAGGCAGGGCCTGTCTTCTGGGAGAAGGCCCGATGCAGACCTGGGTGGTTTCTGCCACCTACGTGCACCTCGGTGCTGTGTGTCCTGGTGTCACACTGTTTGCTATGCGTTGAGTCGGTGCTGTATTCTCACGATTGGGTGATGTGTTACAAGGAGTGGGAGCCACCGCTCGCTGCCCAGTCCCTTGGTGGCATCATGTGTCACATGTGTCATGTGAAGGCCCAGTTTAGAGCGCTTTCCCAGAGAGACCCCAGGGTTGGCCCCGGTGACTCTATTATATCCCATCGTTTTGCTCTGGGTCTGATTTGCTCACAAACATCTCCACTCTCAACTCTCAATGTGTAAGCAGCGGGCCCCATTCCTGGGCAGGCCCAGCTGCTGGCCTTTCTGCTAATTAATGACTACTGATTGGCCCAAGAGGCACACTCATTATGCCCTGTAGAGATCAAAGCCAGGTCCAATAATCTGCTAAACGAGATGTCAGATTAGGGCATTCTTCTGGGCTATTAGAAAGATTTTTCTTCCTGGGTAAAGGCTTGTCAGGGCATATGACCCCTTCACCCATTGTGAGCCCAGCCAGAGGGCTCTGCAGCATCTCTGCTCCTCTTGCATGTGGACATTTAATGGGTAGGCCTCACCCCAGGGGCACAGGCACTTTGGTGGGGAGCTCAGAAAATGGAAAGGATCCCCACAGGAAAGTCATGTTTGGATAGGGTCACCCCTGCCTCTTTATCCTTGGGCTTGTTGGGAGATTAAGAGAGATAGTAGACTCCCTGGATCCCTGTGCTTTCAGCTATACTACTGACACACTGCCTCAGTTTACCTCTTAGGGCTGGGAGTCAAGTTTTATGTTGATACCACGCCCTCTTCTCAGGAACTAGCCCCAGAATAACTCTCATTTCAAACTAAGTGGATCAACCCAACTTTCTCACCCTGGGGTGGGAATGGAGTCCCAGTTTTTAGTGTTAGTGCTAATACCTGTTAAGGGATACCACTGATTGAATGTGTTAGGCACTGTGTTAAGTGACTAAACACTGGTTTTATTTACACTGTCTGAAAATACTGCAAGTTAGGTATTATTAGCATCCTCTATAATGCATGAAGAGAGTGAAGCTCAGTAATTTAGCCAAGTCACTCAACTTAACTTAGCAGCAGCTCCAAGGGGGTGATCCTGATTGGCTGCACCAGTCAGCATGCTGATTGGTTTAGAAATAGGCACATGACCTAATTTTGACCAATGAGCAAGCATCAATCACTAAACTTTAAGGGAGGTCCTGGGGAAGGAACTCTTTCTCCCTAAATGGTAGGGGGTGAGTATGGGAGGTCTGGAAGTGAGGAAGTCCTCTCACCAGAGAAAAATCTGGAGCATTTGGAGGGAGGGATTGCATAAAACCATGTGGGGCCAATGTGTTGGGTCTTTGGAACCACGGTTTGAACTGTTGAATTGAGCTAAGCTAAATGATTGAATACAGTGTCTTTACTGCTTAAACCATTTTGAATTGGGCTTCCTAGCACTTGTAAATGAAAGACTGATACATAGCCTTTGTCCCAGAGAAACTAGGCCTGCTAGGTGGGTCTGGCCCCCAAAAGGCAGCCCTGGGGTGAGTCCACCTGGGAAGCCAGGAGAGTATTGAAAGCATTCATGGCAGTCCAACACTTACTGTGGTCCTCACTTGTCTTTTTTTAAAAATATATTTTATTGATTTTTTTACTGAGAGGAAGGGAGAGGGATAGAGAATTAGAAACATCGATGAGAGAGAAACATCGATCAGCTATCTCCTGCACACCCCCTCCTTGGCATGTGCCCACAACCAAGGTACATGCCCTTGACCGGAATTGAACCTGGGACCCTTCAGTCCACAGGCTGATGCTCTATCCACTGAGCCAAACCGGTTAGGCGGTCCCCATTGTCTTGCTGACCCCTGTCCCAACTGCCACCTCAGCCCAGCCTGGCTATGGCCTCTGTATTGGTTAATATTAGGACTGATTGCAAGAAACAGACACTGGAAGCGGCAATAGTTTAAACACGAGAGAAGGCTATTTCTTTCTAACTTGACATTCGGGACGAGGGGGGAGAGGTATCCCCAGTTGGTGTGACAACTTGGCTCCACCTGAGTTCTCCTGTGTACCCACCTTCACTCTCTCTACATTGATCGGCTTTGTCAAAGATTTGTCTAGTTTGTCAGTCTTTCCAAATAACCTGGTTTGGTTTTATTGATGCTTGCTATGTTCGTTTTCAAGTTCGTTAATCTCTGTCATCATCTTTATTATTTCTTTCCTTCTACTGTATTTGGGTTTACTTTATTGTTTCTCTCTTCCCTCATTTCTTGAACTGGATACTTAACTCTTTAAGCTGTAGCCATTACTTCTTTTCTTAACACATAAATGAAAATGCAGTTTTCTCCCTAACATCCCTGGGGCTGCATCAATAAATTTAGAAATGCTGTTATTTTAATTATTGTTAGGCTCTAATAATTTCCATTTTAATCTCTTTCTTAACACTTGAGTTATTTAGGAATGTGTTTATAAATTTAAAAAATAATTTCTAAATGTTATTTTTGCTATCAATTTCCAATTTGTGCATAACACATGGTCAGCTGTTATAAATCTTTCAAGGGAAAAATATGAATTATACAATGACTGAGTGAAGGGTTGCATACTTATTCATTGCAGTGGTTCTCAACCTTCTGGCCCTTTAAATACAGTTCCTCATGTTGTGACCCAACCATAAAATTATTTTCGTTGCTACTTCATAACTGTAATGTTGCTACTGTTATCAATCGTAATGTAAATATCTGATATGCAGGATGGTCTTAGGCGACCCCTGTGAAAGGGTCATTCGACCACCCAAGGGGTCGCGACCCACAGGTTGAGAACCGCTGCATTAGAGTATGCTTGTTAATTTAAATCATTACTGATAGTGTCTCCTTGATCTCTCAGTTATGGAGTCTTTTCCTCCTCCTCCTCCTCCTCTTCCTCTTCTTCTTCTTCTTGAAAGTATTACATATGTCTCCTTTTTCTCCTGATGGACCCCCTACCACTTCTACCCCCAAGGGCAAGCCCCCACCGCCCCAGTGTCTATATCCATTGGTATGCTAATGTGCATGCGTATAAGTGAGTCTTTTCCATATTAAAGCCTCTTGTGGTTCTCCTGCCCCCCTTGGAACGCTGCATATTTCTGTCCTGTTGCAATTCTCTTCCCTTTGCCCTGCCATTATTAGTATGGATGTCCCTTCTCAACTATGAGGTTCAGTTTTCCGGGAGGACATGGACTATGGCTTATTCATCAGAGCATCCTTCTACAGCAGCGATTTTCAACTGCTATGCTGTAGAATTTTTAAAACATGCAATACCTCACTATTTAGTTGGGGGCACTGACCCCTTTTCCCTTAGATTGTCAAATAAAAAAATGACAACACCCAACACAACAATGGCCGCCCAGTGGTATTCTGAAGAATTTTAGTAATGAGTTTATGTGTGCCAAGAGATGAAAAAGGTTGAAAATCGCTGCTCTACAGAATCAAGTCCACGGTAGTCACTGATTTGAATTATTCGTAGTCTTAATACCTGCTTTCTAGGTCTGGCACAGGTCCAGTCCCACAGGGAGCCTTCAGCGTTCCCTGCTTCCCCCCCGAGTATGCCACGCAGTGTTTTTGAGCACCTAAGTCCGGAGACACTCACTTTGAGATACGTTAGGTCTGGGTCAAGGTTGTTTCATGTGGAAATTTTGACTAAACTCCTTTTCCTGCTGTGAAATGCAAGCTTCCTCACGAGCTGCCAACTCAGGGCTAACATCCTCGATTGTGGGGAGGGGTCATTTGAGGTTAGGAACGATTTGGACATGGCTGGGAGGAAACTGGCCTTGCTTAGCCAACCCTTTCTTCACGGGAGTACAAAAACATAGTGAGAAATGATGCTAGGAGGGTCATTCAAACAAGACATAAAATCACATTTGAGGTTTGCCTCTTCACATATAAACAACTGCTTTGCAGTCCAGCTCATTCTTAGCCAGGCCTTGAAGCAGTTCCCCGGGGACCACTCCCGGCCACACCTGGTTCCCATTACTGTATCTCCTTGCGAGCGTAAAGCTGCCTTTCTTCAAAAGTGGTGAAGGTGATAATTCACGCTGACCTGCCCCGAGGTTGTCCAGATCAGCTCGTCTGACAGCTTCATGTGGTCACGGTTATCCACAGGCTCTCGTGAAGGCACATTCTGTCCAGACAGAACACAAATAAGTGGCCTGCCAGTTTAACATGTCAGCGGGATTCAGCGCATGCTTCCTTGGGCAGATCCATCCGCACTGCGGTGGACAGTTTTGTCTTATGCACCACGCCCCCTAGGCAGACACATTCACCTTGGATACAAACGGAACTGCCTGCCCTTGCCTGGGTGCCTGGCTGGAAGTCCCGCCTCCTCAGTCCACATAACAGGATTGGGGAGAGCTGGGAGTTGGTGGCGGTGGTGGGGAGCTTGTAGCTCTCATATAGACGAGCTGTTCTCCTCTTCCAATGGAGAGGGGTAAGGAGCCCCTTCTCTTTCTTTCTTTAAAAAACATTTTTATTGATTTCAGAGAGGAAAGGAGAGGGACATAGAAACATCAATGATGAGAATCATTGATTGGCTGCCTCCTACACACCCTTCTAGGGATGGAGCCCACAACCCAGGCATGTGCCCTGACGGGAAATAGAACTGTGACCTCCTGGTTTTCATAGGTCAATGCTCAGTCACTGAGCCACATCCACTGGGCGGCTTTCTCTTTCTTAAAACCAAAGGACAGGGACACCAAGAGACCCACTCTTAAAGGACCCATTGTCCATGTTTCCTGGTTCAAAAATCATTTACCCACATTTAAATCTCTTTTCAGAAAGAAAGAAGAAAATATTTTATGGAATTGTGCCCCTGAAACCTGTACAGTTTTTGTTAGCCAGTGCCACCTCAATAGGGGCAATAAAAAGTAATATGTATATTTTTTTTCAAAATTTAAAAAAAAATCTTTGGGTGTGGGGTGGGAGGGGAGTGATTAACCGGGAAACTTATACGCATATATGCTTAACCCATGGACACAGACAAGAGTGTGGTGAAGGCCTGGGAGGGATGGTACGGGGTAGAGGGTATCAATGGGAAAAAACAACAAACAAAGCGACATCTGTAATACTTTCAACAATAAAGATAAATTAAAAAAAAATCTTTTGAAGGTGCTTGCAAATGCTGTTTACATTTTGAGTGGGAGAATGAAATTTCTGGCCTGCCCTGGGTGACCTGGGTGAGAGGCGGGTTAGAGAGGTGGCACAGCAGCGAGGCCAGCGTTCCTGAGCTCCCCATGGGTTGAGTGACTGCCAGATGAGGCAGCTGGACTTGAGTCCCCTGCTGTCACTCCCTATTCCCTTCCCCTCCCTCCCTCCCTTCCTCCTATTTCTCCTCCACCAGCAGGCTGCCTGTTGAGTGAGATGCACCAGCAGCAAAAGCCACTCCCTGCAGGGCCTTCTGAAGCTCAGACAAGTATCCAGTGGGAGAGCCAGCCCGTGTGTCCAAACAAATAGCAGGGCAACCTGGAAAGGACTTCACCCTAAGTTAAAGGCGTGTGCCCTTCTCCCCCTCTCTCTTCTTTGGGATGAGCTGGATGAACACCAGATGGGCCCAGGAGGAAGTCGGGGAAAGTGAGGGAAGGTCAGATCAGATCCCTTCTCATCTCAAGTAACCGGGACCACAGCTCTGGTCTCCCCTGGGAAAGGGAAAAGAAGAAACAAACAAACAAGCAGAGCCAAGTCTTAATGAACAGAACCAGATTGTCCTAGAAACTCAAGGGAATTGAAAAGTATGGATTCAATCAAGTAAAAGTTAGAGAGCCACTAACCAATGAGAAAAGGAATTTGTTATAGTAAAGAGGAAAAATCGAAGAAATCAAAGCATTTTTTTGCTTGTTTCCTAATAAGCCAAGACTCTTCCATAAACCTCTGATACTTGTGAATTCTTTAAGGACTAGCATGCAGTTCTATAGGTTCATAAGCCCTAGACTTAGTAAATGGAGCTCCAAAGGTGAACCCACAATGAAGAGTCAAGGACGACTTATGGCTAAGCTTTAAAGATAAACAAAGCTTCTAAAGAGAGACTTAACTGTGGGAAAGTGATTTTTTTGAACCCAAACAGGACTGCCATGATTCTAGAAAAAGGCTGCCGGTGGCCACGGAGGCCACGTGCTGGCCAACATTAGAATCTAGGAGCAGAAACTCAGAAGAGTGGAGAGAAAACACCACACAAAGAAGAGCGAAGATGCCGCGTTGCCTCGATCTCACTCTCATCTCTTTACTCATCCAGCCTCACAAATGCGATGCCTACAAAGCAGTGACTCATGTGGTCCAGTCTGGTGTTGGTTCAAAAGAACAGAGTTCAGAAGCCAAACGTTATGTCATTAAAACTTCAGTTCTTTCCTCGCGTTTCTCAATCATGAAAGGAGATACTTCCTAGCCCACCCTCCATGCCTCTGCCAGCCTCTGCGACTCCCCAGGGCACAATTCTTCTTTCTTCTCTCCCCATAACTCCACCTCAAAGCTACCCCAGCGCTAGCCCAGGGCCTCTCTGATCTTCCTCTCCCTTTCCCCTTCCAATTCTGCTTGTCAAAGTTCCAAAGAACCACTTTGCAGGGCAGGGATGTCTTCAAGGGTGGGAAGAAGAATCGAAGAAGTGGGCCACAGTTCCCTTAGCAGGAAAGGGGAGGGAAAGCCTTGGAGCAATCACTGTTAATGAGTTTATCCCATTAGTAAGTGTGTAGGTTCTTTGCAGCCAAATGACCCTGACAAGGACACTGTGTGACCCAGAGTGAGTTATTTAACCTCTCTGAGCTGCAGGTTCAATTCCTGCTCCACAGGGTGGCTGCGAGGATAGAATGGATGACCTGTGAGAAACAGTGTCCCCTTGAACCCAGTGGCTAATCATCTCTCTGTGCACCCCGGGAACATGGGAATGCAGCCACCTACAGCTCAGGAGACAGCACTCAGAGCCCCAGGATGAGGGCTTCTCGCCAGCCCCTGAAGCCTCAGCTCCTCTGGAGCCAGATCCCTCCCCCCTGACTCTCTGCTCTTTCCTTAAGACCTGGCCCAGCTGTCCAGGGGCCTTGCTTACTTCCTCGGTGCATTGCATTTGATTTCCTGGCTCGTTTGGCTTGATACTCTGTGACTGTGAGCCCATGGTGGCCCAGGCCTCGCCATGGGAATCACTGGCCTTCACTTTACAGCAGCGGCTCTCAACCTGTGGGTCGCGACTCCTTTGGGGGTCGAACGACCCTTTCACAGTAATTTTATGGTTGGGGGTCACCACAACATAAGGAACTGTATTAAAGGGTCGCAGCATTAGGAAGGTTGAGAACCACTGCTTTAGAGGTTATGGATCTGGGGCTGGTTGAGAAACATTCCTTCTTGGACACCCAGGCAGAAGGGCTTCCCTGATCAGGCCTAGGATCTCTGCACTTGCCCTCCCCTCCTGCCCAAGACAGGGGTCCTGAGGCCAGCAGTCCTTCCGCCCCTGGCACTGCCCTGGGACTGCCTGGAAGTGTGGCTTTTGGAAGCAAAGGTGGAAATCTGGGGGAAGGAAGGAAGGAAGTCGGTCATCACTGTTCCATCATGGGCTGTGATGTGAGGTCCCAGATTTGATCCGTGAAAGGTGAGCAGTGCCTGACATGTAGCAAGTGCTCCACCGAAACGTGTCAATAGGTGGCTACTGATCTCCTGGTCGGTTTGTTCGTTTATGAGAGTCAAAGGGAGATAATCCCTGCCACACTTGCTTCCTGTCTCTTGGTTCATCTTAAGGCCGACAGGACCAGCGCGTGTGATCAACAGTCCACGCTCAGTGCCTGCAGGTGCCGGCCAGACTGTGCGGCTGTTCTGACGGGCCGGCCTCACCTTTCCACTGTGAACAAAGCAGGACTAGTGTCAACAGGATGGGGAGGCCCAAGGAGTGGGGAGTGAGGAGCTGTTTAACCCACTTAGAGAATCTGCTGCTTAGAAACACAAACAAATAATGAGTGTGCTAATTGCTAATGATAACAAAGTTTGACAGTTTTCAACACTTATCAGTCACATCATTTGAATCTCCCGACAGCCTGTGAGATGAGATAAGTGTTCTTCCTGGATTTACGGATTTATGGATGAGGTGACTGAGAGCCAGAGAGGTTAGGGAACTTGTCCAAGTTTACACAGCTGAGCCCAGATTCAAACCCAGGGCAGAGTGTCACCGTGTCCTGGGCCAGCGGCCCTTTTGCCACCTTGTTGGCTTCTTCCAGGAGGCCCTCGGCCAGCCAGAAGCTGGTGGTAGTTCAGGGTGCCACTGTGTCTTCCTGGTGGTGGAGAGATGACCACTCTCAGCACAGGAGAGAGACCCACCCCTGGTCCCAGAAGGTTCCTCATGCTGGCCCTGGACAGGCCCCTTTGTCCTGGGGATCATTCTGTTGGTGAATTGGGGCGGGTGAGGGGTGGAGGGGGTGGGGATAGGGCATGGGCAGCAGCACCAACCTTGCAGTGGAACAGTCCTGGGGATCCAAACCCAGGGACTTAAAGCCAGGACTTCAGGTGGGTCACCGTCTGTGCCTGGGGCTCATGTCCTGCAGCTGGGAGGGAGGGACGCGAGAGAGGGGACATAATCCTTCCCATTTCTAACATTCACTGTGAGTTTCTTACACTTGCCCCCAAAATGTTCTTTTATCTCTGTGGCCACAGACACTCCCCAGGAAGAGGCTGTGAGGGAGGCCTTACGGCTGATGACACATGAGAGAAATGGTCAGGGTAGTGGTGGCTGGAAAGGGAGTCACCTCTCAGCGTCTTCCTCACCCAGAGATCTCTTGCGCACCCCTCTAGGCCTTTGCAGGTTTCTGAGTGCTTTACACACTTAACCTAGGGTAGTTGGCACCCCATCTCGCAGTTGACAAAGCTGAGGCCTAGAGGCGGGAGGACTGCTCGTGAGGCCCTTCCCCATGCCCAGCTTGCTTTGGGCACTCTGGCACCTTAAGTTACTGTTATATAATCCCTATGGGGTGAGTGTTATTGTACCCACTTACTGCTGAGAAGACTGAGGCTCAGAGAGGAGTCACTGGTCCACGGTCACACAGCTCCCAGCTGGTGAAACTGGGATTGGTACCTAGGGAATCGATTACAAATCCTACCCTCCTTCTGCCCCTCCATGAGGACAGGACAAGGATCCTGCTCAAGGCCAGCCTTGAGGACTCCCAGTCCAGTGCTCCTTCCTTGGCCACATTCCTCTTGTCCTCCTCTGAGC